GTGTTATTAAAAAGAATTTGTGTTGGAGGACGAGACAGACGTTACGGGCCTGTCTATAGCCTGCAGCTGAGCATGGTACAAAGATCACTGATGTAGATCTAAGCAAGCTGGTCTGTCCACATGAGGGTATACAGTGCCAGAGATACTTACTTAGGGCCTGAATGCAGGCACAGCATTTTTGTTGAGAAAATATCTATAAAGAGTGATACAAAGAAGGGGAATAAGGGAACCAGGAAAAGTTCCTGATCCCTTCCACAGAGGAGATGGGGACATCAGATGATAGTAATGGGAGAGAAGTAAAGAGGCGGTGGTGATTTTTTTAAAGAACACATGGTTGATCTATGGACCTTCTTGCTACAGGGTGTTGCAGGTGCTAAAAGTTTATACACATTCAAGGGACAATGCCCAAGCCCATGGAAGAGAAATCCATTGTGTATTACTAAAAGCAGTGAAACCATAGCTGGCTTAGGAAATCCTTGAGCTCCAAACGATGAAGCTGGGTACATGAATACTTGGGGGAGATGTCACATACAATTATACCATTCCTATGCCCTTCCCCAGCCATCTACCTGTGGTCGCTGTTGGATTCAGGATAGCGGTGCACTGTGTTCCACTGCACGCTCTGGTCGTGGCTTGGTACCCCAGCCCAGTCTCCCTTTAGAAGCGAGAGAAAGCTCTTTGAGTTGTCCTCCTGAATGGACCTCATATAGATTGTAATGAGGTGTTTCTCTCTGCGTCTCATCTGAAAGGCACCATGGAAAAATAAGCTTTGAAGGAGACTGACTGGGTTTTCCCCAGATTTTCATAGCTACACTCTGGCAAACAAGAAAATGGTATCCCCCTTTTTTATAGAGTTACATATAGATGCAGGTGGTCTTTGGGAGTTTTCCACTGGAGAACAGACAAGGCCTGGAACAATCAAAGGCAGGGAAGACCTCAACAGAGTACTCATTTTGTGTCAGCCCTTATGGTTTGACCCTTTGCCTCCCTTGCCTACACCTTCCTGCAGTTCTGCTTGATGTCTGTAGCCCAGCACTTCCATAACTGGGAGGAGACAGATTTTGTGGTGCATTGGTGCTCTGCAGTCCAGAATTGGAGTAACACTCTGACACGTGACATTTCTTCATGCCAAACTATTCTTCTTGCTGCCAACCCGGATAAGCTCTGTCTTGAAAGCATAAGCAGCTGGGAGGTATTATAAAAGAGAGAGAGAGAAAGTACTAATGACATCACTTCCAATCAAGGTGAAAGTTATTTAGACTGTCCTTGATCATTCAAATTATATCTCATTAAATATCAGACAAACCTACCTGTTATGGTCATATTGCTGTATTTTGGGACCTCAGCAAACTGGTTAGTATACTAGAGCAGTATAGGTAGTATTTACCTAGCTGTGGTCCAATGTAAAGCTCCATCCATACCTTTCTCACTGTTATCTCAGCTCGATGTCTTGTTAGGGGATGCACTTGCTATACCTTATTTTAAGCTCTTCTGTTTGATCTTTCTTCTTCACTGCAGAAGAGTGAGAAGTAACAATGTCATACTTAATCTTTCTATTTCTCTTTAATCTTTGTGTTTCTTATGGTTCACATGGAGTCATCTCTTTATACTCTGGTAAACGGCAGTGACATTCATGTAGAGGAAGTGAGGTTGAATTTTGGTAGCTGAACACTGCTACCAAGGCAGTTGCTTCTCCTGCTGCCTTTACTTGGCACAAGTAAAACCCAGCTACTTGCAGACTGAACCCGTGCACTGCGGAGGGTTATTTCCCTGTGTTAATGATCCTCTGTGCCCCTCTTCCTCTGGCAATTACTGACCTCATTTTTCCCAGAGGCAGTCTGTGATGTTAAGTGGTTTGTTTTAAATTTGAGATTTACTGAATTTCAGAGAACATACATTGCTGGAGTTTGCTTTTCATGCATTGCTCTGTGTATTGCTGGATAGATTCCGTAATGCTAAAGTAATGGAGAATTAAGTCTTTCTTTGGCGTATTTTGAAACTCCTCATTTCAGAGTGTTGAAGGCAATGACTAAGATGTCTGTTCCTTAAAGCCATGTTGTACTAGAGAAATATATGACTCTGATCTCCTATACATGAATCTATTTGTAAAGTCTTATTCCAGCTTCATGAATAAAGTCCTTTCTTTACCCCAGCTTCATGGTGAAAATACAGTAAAAGACATTTATCTGATATTGTGGAAAGTGAGTATGACATGGGGCAGAATAGAAATCGGATTTCTGTTCTATCTACCTGTGTGAATCGGAAAGAAATTATAGTGTGCTGGTGTCTCTGCTTTCCTATCTGTAAAACAGGGATATGGATATATTCCTATCTTATGGGAGAGCTTTGAGTCCCAAGTTCATTACAAAGTCTGTGACAAATCTTAGAAATTCAATTGTGAGATAGTGTGTAAGCATATAATATTAATGTTTTATAATCTCCCTAAACTGTGTCTCTGGATATCTTTAGTGAGAAGGATATAATGATATCAAAAGAAATCTTTTTTCACCCCAACCATTTTCTTTAGAACCCAAAGTGAAAGCTGTTTCCACCAACTGCCATCTCTGCAACCATCTGGAAAATCACATTTTCTGAAGCTTTCCTTCTCTTTATCAGCTGTAACTAAAGCTATAAAATGGGAAGATGTCCCTGGTTTAATTAACACCCCCGTAGTTCAAAAGCTGATGTTAGTAATGAGAGGCAATTACAGCCTTTATTGAGGGACAGTCAGGTGGAACAAACCCAGCATCAATCTATGTGAAGACTCTTCACTTTCCAGGTAATTTGGAAACTGCTTTTTATGATGAACAGGCTACCTGGCCCAATACAGCAGGTGAATCCCTTTGTCTTGTAACCTGAAAAGAACTTCCTATTTTGAGTTATGCGCTTCTTTTGTACACTGCTTTTACATCCCATCCGTCTGCCAACAGCTAGCAACTGAACTAAGGAAATACCTGTTGCTTTTTGGAGAGCATTCTTGCTGGTTTTCTCATTTTATTTTCCTTGTCCTTGTTAATTTTCATTTTGAAGGTTGCCTGGTGTTCATATTTTTGTTCTAGCAAAACTGCAGACTCTGTGGTGCACCCACATCCCGAGGGCTCTGCAGAGTTCTGGTTTCTGCACCTCAAAAATGATGTGATACAGCTACAGAAGGTCCAGAGAAGGACACAGAAATGATGAACAGAATGTGATTTCTGCTATAGGAGCTAAAAAGGCTGTGACTGCAGTTCGAACAGGAGAAAACTGAGAGCAGAGATAAAACTGAGTGTAGCTGAAGTCGTGAAGGTGGTAGATAAGGTAGATGTAGAACTTTAATACTAGAGCTAAGGGGCACTAGCTGAAACAAGGAGATCTGTTTGAAATTATGAAGTACCTTTTCACACAGCAGATAGTGAACTTCTAGAATGTGTTGCCACAGGAGACTGAGGAGGTGGGCAGTGTCAACAGTTTCAAAAAAAGGATTAGATAAATTCAGAGCAGCCATGACTTGAGTCTAAAGGTGATGGGCAGCGCTGAGGCAGTATGAGGGGAATGGTCCTGCCTCAGTAGTATTTCAGGTGCTGTCTAACCTCCAGCTTATGATCTTTTAGAGTGTGGATCTGCTGTATGCCTTGTGTTTCATCTGCCAGCAGTCTATGGATATCCTGATATCTCCGGGGTCTCAAATGATGCTATATGCCTCTTTCTGGAAAACTGATTTAAATCCTCAGTGTCTACAATGCAGGCACCTACATTGGAGCTAGTTGCTGAAGGTGGAGCTTTACTCATGATGAAGATGCGTGCATTTGGCTGTTTGCATGTAGTTATCTACCTGTGCAGACAACTAAATTCTTCTGCAATCAACAGATGTCTAGTCAGCCTAATGGAGACCCAACGAATACAGTCAATGGAACAGTCAGTACTGTTATTTCATCTTGCCATAAGGTAGACTTGGGATGGTCAGCTAAATAACTCACTACTGCCTGATTTAATTAAATCTTAGTTGACTATAATGGGAGCATAGATACCTAGCACACATGTAGGTAACAAAATTTAGGTATATTAATCTTGAACTGGATTCTATCCCAAGATTTCTGTTATAGTGACTGTAGAGGAATAGGTGTCTCCTGAGGATAACTCATTGACCTGTTTTAGACACCTAGATGTAGATGAGAGGAGCTGCACTTGTGAAGTGCATATTTCTGTTCATTGACTTTAAGGGGAGTCTAGATAGTGGTACCCACATGGTCAATGCACACCATTGTCAGATGAGTCCCAACCATCCCATTTTGGAGACTCTGGTACTGTCACTTAGAATCTCAGTTGTAAGAAATTAGATTTTTAAAGCACTGTGATATGAAGAAGTGAAATTACAATTTCAAAACAGCTCCCCCCACACACACACTTATGGTTTGATTTAGAATAAAGGCTTAGCCATGATTTTACTGTCTGTAACTATGCCGTGAAACATCCTCTGTCCTGGATTAATATAACATCCTGATTAAATTGCCTTTGCCAGACTAGCTGTAAAAGCTGTAAAACTATAAAACAAGCTGGTAAATTGTTTATTATTCAATAATTAAAGATAGAGCAGGCATTAGATCTCTTAAGTCCTATGGTGTTACAGCAGTGAGTGGCTTTCATAGAGCGTCTAGGAGGAAGGTTTGTTTGGTATGGAAGAGTTTGAAAAGGAATTTCTTTGGTTGGTGGTTCTGTGGATGTTAACTCTGTGCTGCCAGCAGACACAGAATTTGGATGCCATCAGTGTACTCTGGTTCTAGGACAGGGCAACACCAACTCCTCTCAAAAATACTGTAGAAAAGTCCACTTATTTCCAAAGTTTCCACTATTGTATGTGATGCAGGATGGATGTGAAATTTCTTTAGTGAATGAATGTGATATAATCTCGTTTAGGAGATTACACAGTTCTTTGAGGTAGGATGGATTGCTGGTTCTTTCCTCTTTCCCACTCCTATGTGTACAACTTTGTTGTTCTGTGTCCCGTTTGCTTCGGATAAAGGATGAAGGATGCGGGTGAGGAGATAGGAATATTGTGTGACTGCAATGTTCCTGTAGCTTTGGATCTGGCTGTGGCATCAGGGTCTCTGCGATTCATGTGGCTTGCATGAAGGGGGAGTTGTGGTCATCACCTGCCTTACTGACTGTCCTGTCTTTTCCTTCTCCCTCCCAGGTTATGGACATGCTGCCCCAGGGACGGATGCAGGGAAGGCCTTTTGCATGTTCTACGCAGTCCTGGGGATCCCACTGACACTCGTCATGTTCCAGAGCTTGGGCGAGCGCATGAACACCTTCGTCAAGTACCTCTTGAAACGTATCAAAAAATGCTGTGGGATGAGGAGCACCGAGGTCTCCATGGAAAACATGGTCACTGTGGGTTTCTTCTCCTGCATGGGAACACTCTGCATTGGAGCAGCAGCCTTTTCCCAGTACGAGGAATGGAGCTTTTTCCATGCTTACTATTACTGCTTTATAACATTGACTACGATAGGGTTTGGAGACTATGTGGCCCTGCAGACGAAAGGGGCCCTTCAAAAGAAGCCTCTCTACGTGGCTTTTAGCTTTATGTACATTCTAGTGGGGTTGACAGTTATTGGAGCATTTCTAAATCTGGTTGTTCTCAGGTTCTTAACCATGAACAGCGAGGACGAGAGGCGGGATGCCGAGGAACGGGCATCCCTGGCAGGGAACCGCAACAGCATGATTATCCACATCCAAGAGGACTCCCAGCATGGTCGGCCACGGTACAAGGCCGAAGTAACAGACCTTCAGTCAGTTTGTTCCTGCATGTGTTACAGGTCCCATGAGTACACCAGCCGGGTGGTGTCCCACCAAAATTCGTTCAGCTCGAAGCTGAACCCCCAGTACTTTCACTCCATCTCTTACAAGATAGAGGAGATCTCGCCAAGCACATTAAAAAACAGCCTTTTCCCATCTCCTGTCAGCTCCATCTCACCTGGGTTGCACAGCTTTACAGATAACCACAGGCTGATGAAAAGGCGAAAGTCCATTTAAAGGGATTTGTCTTCTTTTGCTTTCCTTGTTTTCCCCAGTTCTCCATTGTTTTGGGTTTTTTGTTCCTTGAGTGAGACGGAGCGAGGCCAAAGGGAGTAGAGAAAGCCAGTCCTCCTCTGAGACTCAGCTCTTGAGCATGAAGCATGGATTATTACTGTTCCAGCAAAGTATGCCTTACATTACCCCCTCGGTGGATGTCAGAGGATTCAAGGTGACGTGAAGTGGGTACCAAATCCAAAGTTGCACACACAGCTGGGAGCCTTCATGTGCCACTGGCACTCCTGACCTAATAAACTATTTTCCTCACGAGCAGGTTGCAGCGTGCGTGTGCTTGTGTGTGTGTTGGGTGTGTGCGTGTGTGTGCGCGCGTGCAATTCCACAACCAGTGCCATGTGACAAAAATTAAAGCATCAGGTATTATTTTTTTTCCCTTGAAGCAATTGTGTTCCAGCCTGCTTTTAACTTTAAATTGCTTCCAAAAGGAACAGGGGGGTGGGAGGGGAGCGAATTTGTTTTGTTTTTCGCCAGGAGAAGCATGCGCCATAAGCAGTCAATATACCAGGTGTATCATGATAAATTTTTTAATGCTAGATTTTAGATTGTATTAACATTAAAAAAGGCAGGAAAAGATGGATCATTTTAGCTTGCCAGTTCAAAATTAAAATAAAATAAAATAAAATAAAATAACGCATGCACTTTGTGAAACTGGTATGCATAATAAAAACACAAGAAAAACTAGCAATGGAATTAATAATCAAAAGCAAATAATCCTATTGATGTAACTATATTTACTTTTATCATTTACAACTGTTCCAACAATTTGCAAGTGGGATTTTTAAGAGAAATTGGGAGAATTGTTGGAACTAAAGAGTATATTTTGTTATTTTTATTTATAAAATTATTATTATT